GACAAAAAGGCGGAAGGGAGATATTTGACAACCTTATATTTGCACTTCGAAATGGAAACTTTACTATTTCTGTTGTTGACAGCAGTTATCGCCATGAGAGAGGGCTGGAAAAAGGGCTAGTTTGGTTCCGAGGTTCATTGATCCGTGGGCTCGATAAGACCGAAGAAGTGCAACGAATGGGTTCTTAACCCTAGAAACTATGCAGGTTTGGTTCTGGCTCTAAACCAGCATGGAAACATGGACATATCTTTAATTACTTCTCTGGTCTGAGCTAATTTTCAGAAAGTAATCAACTGGCCCAGTAAATATCACTCATACGCACCGTTGCTTAGGTGACAAGCCAGCCAAAGCAAAGCAAAATAAACACAAATCCGTCTGGGGGGTTTTGTATTAAAACAAGTATATATACAAGTGCCACATGTGTTTGTGTTTGCCTTAAAGCATCTGGGGAGATTAAGTTAAGTGGAAGAAATTACACCAAAGAGGATACACTTGCCAACTTTCCCCCTTTTTTTTCCTCCTTTGGGAGAAATGGCTTACAGTTCGTTTAGTTTTTGGCTGCTAATGTCGTGGGGATTACGTTCAAATCAAAGCAATGTACTGTGACTTCGTAAAATGCATGCCAGAGAAAAAAAAAGGACCTTCGCAAAAAAAAAAAAAAAGTATATAATTAAACAATTAAGTTTAACAAGGGCACGATCATAAAACTATTAACTGCCACCGAATGCATTTAAATTGCTTGCTTAAGGAATTTAATGACGAGGGCGGAGTATCCCAGGCGCAGGATGCCAGGACGCAGGATCCAATAACCATCAATGTCTGGCCAAAGTCTGGGAGATGCCTTTGAAATTTGCTTTTCATATAAAAATAATTGTTATGTGCGAGAATAAAGTTTAAAGTGGAGAGAATACGAGAGAAAAAAAAAGACAAAAGAGAAAGGGAAATTTTTTTCTTTAAGGACTATATCCTTGCGGCGGGATGCAGTTCAATAAACTGAGAAGCATACTTCAAGGCGCTGCGAGAAAAAATGAAATTGGAAATTGCATTTGTTTTTTGCCTTTCGAGGGTTCCTCTTTCTTGGCCAATTCGAAGAAAGCCATTATGCCATAGCACATTGAACGGACGATAAATAAGGACCCGCTACCGACCGAGTCCTGGTCAATACAACAACAACAACAAAAAAAGAGAAATGAAGCCCAGGGTAAATACAATTTATTTGCAAATTGATATTTAAAGGTCAGGGGCCACAGGACAAGGGAGCAGCTTAAGCCGGCGGCGGCCAGAAGAAGCATATTTGGCTAATGGCAAATGGCCAAAATGGTCGAATCGTAAATGCAAAAAATCAAGAGGGAGGAATTAAAATACTCTGAAATATGCTTATGCTTATGACAAGGACATCTCTGAGGATCTTGAACTCATCGCTGTGGCAGCTTATCAAAAAACATTTCAACTGCGCCAGCCTAATGAAGTTATAACCCCAGACACAACCTGACTAGATATGCAAAGCTAAAGCTTCTCTTTGAATTTCTCCCCCCAAAAGGTTGCTGTTTTCTGTACTTTTATTTTGCAATTGTGTCGCGCATTTGAATTAAGTGCAAATGACATGAGATTTTCTTGGGGGGGAAAACAATGCGAGTAGCAGCTGCCTCTTAGGAGTTGCACAAGCTTTTAAGCCACTTCACAGTTGTACAACACAGTGGAGAGTGCAGTTGGAGGTACCACCCTCCAGTTGGCACTCCTTTTGCTTGTTTTCCTTGCAGTTTTCATTGTCTGGCTGGGTACTTTTTGAATTTATTGAAATGTTTGTTTGTCTGCCTCGGTTTGTTGTTGTCGTTGCCACGGTTGCAACCAAGTCTACCAGATCCTGCCCAGCTGGAAAATATTATTACTCCATTTCATTTATAAAAGTGCACTCCTCTTCACCCTCTCAGAATTTCATTGTCAGTGTCTCCTACTGTTGTAGTTGTTTATCCTTCGTGTTTGTATGCCGTTCTAGCCATTGTTGTTGGCTTGTCATTGGCTTTAACTCCTAATCTCGCAGTCAGCCGCAGGTCACATCTGGGCCATTGATCAAAGTGGCCCAGATGTGACCTGCGTCTCGCTGGAAGACAGCCAACTTATTCCATTGCTTAAATTAAGCACCTAGCAGCCACGCCTCAGCTCCAGCACCAGCTCCAGCCCACTACCAGTCACTACTATTCCCGATGACAATTTTCAAATTTATTCTGCAATTTCTTTTGTCTTTGGAGCTACACAAAACGCCTACAGAAAAAAGCCATTTAAAGCGCAAACAATTTTTCAATTTCCACTCAAACACACACAGACAGTCTCATTGAATTGTCATTGAATGATGGGCCGGGTTAACAGCTTTTCCGGGTTAATAAAATAGTTTACCTGCCCGCCCACTCACACACATCAGGGCTCTCTCTAATGAGGATTTTTCCCAACTCTTTAATATGCGAGGAAAAACAGGAGGAAAAAGGTGAAAACATGGAAAACTGGGAGGTTTTTCTGGGCAGAGTAGTAGAGAGTAGCAGAACATGTTTGCTCTCCGTCTGCACAAACAATCAAGGAAAATTCACATGAGCACACACACTTGTTGTTTATAAGCCAAGGCTCAAAGGCGAATTGGAATATTAAACAGTGTTATTAACTTTTGCATAAAGCTTAAACTGGGTGGGCCAAAAGAAAACAAGCCAGGGGGTGGGCTCTGAGAGAGTTCTGAGAGTGGCAGTGAAATATTTATGGGTGGCATTTTTAATGGATTAAGACTTCCGTCTTACCAAACAAATGCCATTTAATTTAATGTGTTTATGAAAACCCCAAAGCACTCTACTCTACTCTATTCGATTCAATTGAATTGTAGTTTCTGGTGAGGCCATTGTCTTGGCCTCCTTTTTCGACATCCATGGGGTGTGGCGGAACTGGAAACCTTTTTTGATTTGTAGCAGCCACCAATTCAGGGCTCTCGGGTGTTGATATTTATGGTCGGGAAAGTAAAGGAAGCTGCCTGCCCGACTGCCTGCCTGCCCGACTGCCTGCCTGCCTGATTTATGCGTCCAATGCCAGCCGAAGGGAAGTGACAACTCAATGGCTTCATTAGTGTCCTGATATCCTTTTAGATGCATTGGCCTCTACTCCTCAAAGTTTATTGCACTTCGACTTTTGACTTCTTCGTACACGCCTTCTCTGAGAAGTTCTTCACATCACAACTGCGGCAATAATATTTTCATGCTTTGTAATTTGTGAAAAGTTTCCTTTGCGGTTTTCCACAAAACTTCTTGCCACGCGCGCTTCTTTCATAAATTATAAAGACGAGTCCCTCAATCCTTCCCAGACTCCTACCGCTCCGAGGTCCTGAGTTCATTCTCTTTTTGGGCAACGACCGACTTGGCCAGAAAAGCTGAACTGAAATTAGCAAATCGTCACGTAGGCAACATAAAGTAGGGAAATATTTATGTGACACTTGAAGAAACAGTTTATCAAATTTTATAAAATTATATATTAAATATAAAAAGAGTGTACATATATATTTTTTTATTTTTAATGGCTTTTAATTATTAAAATGGTTGTCTGCCTGCCTGCCTTTATTTGCCTCAATTTTTTGCCTTTCTGGCTGGCAAGGACTGCTGCAGTTGTGTTATTCCTCTCCTATCTGGGTTATTGTTATTGTCCGTAATCCCAGACACAAGCACCATTCACACTCAGATACAGATCCATACCAGCAGACACCCCTGCCACTGCACTTTCTCCTTGAGCAATCAACTTAATTGCTTTACCATCTCACCCTCATGAGATTCTTTTGTTTAATGAGTGAAAATTGTGCCTGGATATGGTATCGCTTACTCGGCCCTTATTCTACTCTTTTTTCGGCATGCAAACATTCATTAATCGAATCTGTTGTTTCGTAACAATGTTGGAAGTTGATTTTATTGTTGCCAAGATTTATGAGCTCTCTGCCCCAAGAAGAGCAAATAACAGGCAGAAGACAATTGCAACAAGGTGGTTGGGGCAGGGAGTGGGGCACCGTGCAAATATTAATTTGTTGATTATTTCCCGGGCATGTTTACTTGAGAGAGAGATGGTTTGAGTTCTCGACAAATATTGGTAAGTGTTGTCAAGGGGGTTTTAGCCTAAAGAAGCTTAAGGTCTTCGTGTTATTAAAAGTGCATTAAACCTGTCCCCGAAAGACATTCCTCAGCTGCAGCAATTGATTGGTTCTACGTGTCCTTCGCTCTAATTTCGTTACATTCCTTCTGTGCCACTCTCGAACTAAATTATTCAGTTTGGTATGTCTGAATTCGATGTATAGCTTGCTTTGTTGTTAGACCGTCTGGTCAGGTGCCGGACCACCGTCATCGTCAATTACCACAACAGAGTCACAAATATTCCCTCATCATTGGGTTAGTTGGCTTTGATTGGCGAGTGCGATGGTTACTATACTCCCTTAGCCATATATCGTGTATCCTTTCGACACCTTTTGGCTTTTTGACGGCTTTATTATACCACCATTCTAGCATATAGGGGAAAGCGTTTACTTTTTTTTTTGTGTTTTTAGGGAAAGGGCTGGCTGGTTTCTCATCTGCTGGCTCGCCATATTGATTATCGATTTGGGAATTGGCCTGGACTTGGACTTGCCAGTTGGCCACCCATCTGGATACCTGGATGTGCTTTCAATTTGGGCAACGTGTTAGCCACTTTGGCTTAGACAACAGAGCTGGCACGTTTGGATTTTATGGTTCATTTGTTGGCGCTTAGACGCTGGCTGGTTGCTTCGTTTAGTCCCACGGCAGACATATATTGGCAATGTTCATTGGGCACCAAAAACACCTTGGCGGTGATATCCCTATTTTTTTTTTTTTCAGAAATAATCCAACCAGAAGTGAGTCAGTTCGAAGGGTAAACGAACCTTGACTTTAACTTGAAAATATCAATGTGTCTCTCTGTTGTGCTTGAACTAGTTTAACTAATCACTTATTTATATTCTCCTTCTTTTTTAGATCGAGGACGAGGGCAACCATGGCAATGACGAGACACGCCTCTTCATCCTTTCCTCCCTGGCCCAGTCGCAGATGAGCCGGGTGGCCTGCATTTTGTGTGAGGAGCCGCTGCTTGTTTTCGATCGCTATCCCCTGGTCGATGGCTCCTTTTTCCTGAGTCCCAAGCAGCATTCCAGTGGCTGCATTGAGGTGAGTCTTCAATACACTGAAATTTTTGAATAGGGCTAGGGAATAACAAGACTTAAGAGCCTTTAAAGTTTAAACTTTTATCTGAGAATTTTCTTGCCGTAAACTCATCATTTATAAAACGTCAAATGTGGCATCCACACCCACGACATCCACGACAACGCCCGCGCAGCTTTCACTCGCCCACGTGCCCCCAAGAACTTTCAGCTGCAATTAGCAGGCGAACTCTGTGGCAGAGGCAGGCCACTCCCATTTCTGCAGTTGGCCTGTCTCTCGGTCTGTCTGTCTCCGCAATTTATGACCCATTTAAGTCAGCGTAATTACGCCACACAGAGCAGGCACCCAGAGCCAGTCAGAGCCAGGAAAACTGCAAACTGCAAACTGCACATTTCACATTTTATGTACGCACGACCTACGCTTCACTGGGCTTATTTTCCCTGGGACGCCTCCTAGTCTCCTCTGTGGCCTCCTCTGTGGGCTTTAATTCAAGCCTGGATTTATAATTCATTGCCAGCTGCTCGCTATGGCTGCTGTGTTGGCAATAGGAATTGCCTTTTGTGCGACATATGGTTATGGTATGGTAGGTGGGTATATAAGCCTCTCCCTTGACTTTGACTTCAGGGCCGTGGGCGGCAATCTCCTGGGCAAGTTTATGCATTTTGCATTTTATTTGAAATTATTATGTCGCGTCGCAGTGGCAGCAGCCAACAGCCAGAAGTCCTTTTCAGGCATGCAGGAATGCGCAGAATTCTCTCTTAAAATCCTTTGCTTTGTCTTTTAAGGACTTTTAAGACCTTTTCTTGCAGTGCATTCTAGGGGCTTCCCGTTGCCCTTGCCCTTCATTCATTCCTCGCTGCAATAATTTCTCATTGTTGGTGTGTCTGGGCCCTGGGCTCCTGCCTGAATTATGCGGCTGGCTCTGCCCTTTTTTACGCTTCTTTATTTTTTGCCTTTTGTGTCTGAACCTTTTTCACCGCTTCCGCTTTCTAAAGACCCCTTTCACCATATATTTATATATATATATATTCCTCAGGTTAAATACGAGGGACGCACTCTCTACTTGACCTGTGTTTGCATGAGTTGCCTGGACGGAACCTCCAGCAGTCGCGTCATCAACTGCAGGTAAGCTTCGGAAATAGCGACTGTGACTGCTTCGAGAAATAAATATTTAAATGGCAATTTTTTTTTGGTTATTTTTCGCATCCTTACAGATTCTGCAAAGAGCCTTGGGATGGTTCCAGCCTGGTTTTGGGAACCATGTATGCTTATGATATTTTTGCGGCCATGCCCTGTTGTGCCGAAAGGTTCAAGGTGGGTACTTTTTAATCATATACTTGCTTTAAAATATTAAAAATATTTTTAAGAAAATCTCACACTATTTTGCATGAAAATTTTTTCTAATTTATTTCCATTTTTGGTTTATTTTAATTATTTTTAGTGCAATAATTGCTTCAAAATGCTGATGCATCCGCAGCAGCGTCTGAGCTTCTACAGTGATTACTCGCATGGTGTGACCTGTCCGTACTGCAACACCCAGGACACTCACTTCGTTAAGCCGCTGAGCTTCTGCTACGCCAAGAGCCCGGCGAACCGGCTGCCGACCCTCGCATAACATGAGGCCCCGTTGGAGTCGCCCGCTAACGGCACTGGTGCCGCCAATCCCGCCCAGGGACAGGTGCCAGGCGCCCAGGGCACTCCAACGGCCTCCAATGGTTCCAGCAGTTGCACTAGCAGCTCCTCGTCAGCGATTTCCAAGCAACCGAAGCAAGTACTGTACAATGCCGCCATCGATTATTCGGCACCGTTGCAGCAGCACATAAATCCAGACTTGATTGGAGCTCATCCGCATGCCCAGCAGCATCAGCAGCAGGTGCGACAACAGCAGCCGACGCAGCAGCAGCAGCAACAGCAACAACCACAGCAGCAGCAGCAGCAACCACCACAACAACAGCAGCAGCAGCAGCAGCAGCCACAGCAACAACAACAGCAACCTGTGGTTTTCCAGAGAACCATAAGCAGCAACTTCCAGCAACAGCCGCTTAAAACCATAAACATGATGACCATGGCGGATGTGATGGGCAAGTATCAGCAGCAACAACGCCATCAGCCCCAGCAACATCCTGGCCAGCAGAAAGGACTAGAGAGCCTTTTATTGACGAACAGCAACAGCAACAGCAACACAAACATGAACAGCAGCAGCAGCAGCAGCAGTATTAGTAACTTAATCATTAGCCATAATTCAGCAGCCAATGGTGGCAATCAGGGCGGCGGCAAGCAGATGCCAGCAACCAACTGGCTGGCCAACCAAACCGACGCCATCTCGGCTCTGTGGGGCTGCTCCAGCAGCAGCAGCGGCTGCTCCTCCGGCAGCGGATCGCAGCCCTCGCTGAGTCCCACGGCCAGTAGTCACGGCAACGAGAGTTCCAAAATGATGTTATGGGCAGCCCAGAGCTCACCCCAGGGCTTCAAGGAGTTGCAAGTGCAACAGTCGCAACAGCAGCAGCAGCCGGCGATGCAACCGCAGCATGCTGCCTCACCGACAGCCTCGCTGACCAGCACCAGCTCATCCTCGAACGGATGGAGTGCTGCCTCGCATTATGGAAAGCTGCCGGGTAACATTTGGGAGCTGCCCGGAACTGGAGTAACTGCAACTGGGCAAAGGATCCAGGCTCCCGGCCACGACATCTTCACCGATCTCCTGTGCAACCTGAGCATCAGTCATCAGGACAACAATAGCCAACAGAGCAAAGCCAATGCAGACGCCTCTTCGGACGTCAGTTCGAATTCCTCCTCGTCGGCCGGCGAGCTCCTCGAAGCGGCCAATATCTGGGGCCGTCCACTGTACGGAAATAATCTGTATCCCGAGGAGGCCACCGGAGGAGCTGCAGCCTGCATGCAGCTCTTCAACGACTATCTCAACATGAATTAAGCAGAAAAAAGGATCGTTTAAGGACCTGCAGCATTTGTTACTCTAGCTAAATTTTAAAATCAGAAACTAAAAACGAAAAAAGAGTAAGCAGGAAGTTTTTATACACCAAGCCGATATATACATATATATATCCAGAGAATGCTTGTATTTAGATTTAATACACCATTTGATTCTTATACAAAAAACAGACTCACACTCACACACACACATACACATCTACACCGAGAAAAAACAATGCAAACTAAAAAAAAATTTCTTGTTATTTTGTTGAGTTTTTTTTTTAGTTTTTTGTTTATCTTACATCTTACGCAAACAAAAGCAATTTTTAGTTTTTATTTTAAAGAAATTTTTTTTATACATTTTTACCAAAAAAAAAAACAAACAAAATGAAACGTAAAAGCAAAAAAAAAACGGGAAAAAAGTAAATTAAGGACTAAAGAAGGAGAGACAAACAAAAAAAGAAACGGAAACATTTACATCACGAAGAGGGAAAATTTTATTTAGCGAAAATTGAAGGCAGGGCATTAAAATGTTTCATAAAAAAAACAAATCATGATAATTGCTGTGCTGCTCAATAACATAAAAAACACAAAAAACGATGAAAATTAGGAGATGGAAGGAGTAGAGTAGACGAGTGTTACGAGGGAGACATTTGAAACATTTGCTACAATTTATGAAACGTAAAATTACAAAAAAAACCCTAAAACCTAAAACCTAAATTTAAAGAAGAAAACATAATCGATAAGTTGCACATCTTTACCTAAGCGATTGGTAATTATTCCTAGTTTTAGTAAGCGAAACGAGAACCTCTAGAGCCGGTTAAGATTCTCTCTTCAAATACACCAAGTTCAGTGAGGTCCTTACAAAAAATGCACTTTGCAACAGACCAACCAACCAACCAACCAACCAAGCATCCACCCACCCACCCAACCACCCACTCGCCAAATAGCAGCCAGGCGGCACATGCAACAAGGTCCTTCAGTACACCCATTGAACCCTTTTAAGAATTGTATTTCCGGCAGACTAACCCCCCACCCACGCCCCCTATCACTCTCTCTATCTCTCTCTCTAAATTATAAGTCCCCTTAAAATTTAAACAAAAACAAAAAAAATTACAAAATAAAACAACTTTCGGCGCAGCGTGATCAATAATTAGTAAGTGTAAGCATAGGTTATAACGATCATCTTTGTATATGTTTAGGGTTTTTTCTCTTTGTCGTAAAATAGCAGAGCAGCCGTATGTGATGGATCTCTAAAGGTAGAGTGATAGCACCCCACCTGGTGCACCATCCATGCAACGGGGGGGTGCAACTCACTGTCAATAGGTTTAGTAGGCTTAAGGTCGAGTCTTTCGAAATTTAACAAAAGGTTTGCATGCAAACGTCCAACAATTTATAGAGCGGTTCAATGATTCCTGTTCCTGTTTCCTATTCCGTGCTTAGAAAAGTCACCAAAAACCCCAAAGGGCCCCCTACCATCTCCCCAACCCGTAATCTCCTTGTTATCCCCTTCTCAAAAATGTGAAATTTTGATCGAATTGAAATTAAAACCCCATTTGATAGAAACCCTGTGAATGTTTTTGATAAAATTGAAAATTAAAACCAACTTGATATGACCCCATCTGTGAAAGAAAATCCTAAGAGCAGCATTATCTGTGTTTGATTCTTCCACCACCCAGATTTATTTCTCCATTTCCACACTTTTGTTTAATGATTTTGCAAAATCTGTGAAATTTTTAATAAAATTGAAAATGAAAACCCCCTTGATATGATACCCATCTGTGAGAGAATGTTTAGGCATCCTAAACCCTAAAAAGAGTTCCCAAATCTGTGTTAGATTTTCGTATTCTTTCTCATTTGATTTCCAATTTATTCAAATCTGTGAAATTTTCATTAAATTGAAAAGAAAACCCCCTTTGATATGACCCCAATCTGTGTAAAAATGTTAGGCAGCCTACATTTAAAAATGGATCAGCCAAAAACTGTGTTAGGTTATACCTACCCCTCTGTTCGATACGAACCCTAAAAATTATTATCCCTAAGTTTCGTCAAATCATCTGTGAAAAGAGTGTTTTATTTTCCCCAAAAGATTTATTTGAAAATCTGGAAGAGAAAACACTCATTTAAACCTTCACTGTGAATGTTCGAAACGGACGAAATTTTCTTGGAAAATTATAAAACAAAACCCCCCACCCAAAATTGTGACTAGGCCTGGCCCGAAAATTCCCAATTTGTGAATCCCTGTTGAAAACAAACATTTTCTGAAAATGTCTAAAATTCTACCCCCACACCAAAATTGCCTCCAAAAAGAAGACAGCCAAACTGTGACATCCCTAAAGATGATTTTCAAAAACACTGTGTTTGCGTTCGGTAGGAACAAATTTTTGAGAAAAATTTTAAAAACTGAAAGCATCTGTGAAAGCGTGTATCTTATTAATTTGCGAATTATTTTATTACCTTTCTCAACAGTGTGATATCGGATATAATTCTTTCCATTTGCGAATGTCCATCTGTGAAGAGCTGACAGCGTGATTAAATCAATTCGATTTCTGTGTTTTAATCCAATGCTTTGCATGAAATTTTTGAAAAAAATTCAAAACCTATTCGAATATCTGTGAATGCCCCCGACCTCTCCCTTAGAAACCCGCCCCTTTGGTGACTTTTGGTGGGGAATCTGCTTGAAATACAAAGAAATTAGGGTATTACGGTGGTATATTCCGGAGAATTGCATGTGCCGACCTTTTTCCAATACTGAATTTTGATCGCCTCCTTTTGGGCATTTAGCATTGCCGCCATTTTACATACCAAATATATAATTCACGTTAATTTTAACGACATACTTTTTTCAGAACGCAGGAAGGGACAACTGAGTGATACTAAATTTTTTTGTATACAAGCCTACAGTAACGAGAATTCTTCGTTATGCCTACTTATATAGAACTACCATTAAGTTATATACCTATAAAGCTCTAACTAACCTAAAACCTAAATTGATAGAAACTAACAAGCGACAAGCGACAATTTTTGGCATTTACTTGAGAGAATTATATATAAGTTTGGCACAGTTATATATAATTTTCGTCTAAATTTAAGGTTTTAATCTAACATAAAATTACGCGCAGATCGAAGCAGGAGAGGAAGCGAACTTATTTATAGGAAACAAGCCCCCAAAATCATACAACAAACATGACACAAACACAAATACACACACTATCCCAGATACAACACGGTTAGACGGTTAGACGCAGTCCTAGTTGTATAGATATTTAATTGGAGAGATACTTTTAGCCCTACACTACACTACTAAATATATTGGTAATAAGTTGAACAAGAAAGCTAAAGCTAAAGCTAAGGCAGCAGCACCGCACCACCAACTACTACGTAAGTCAGCCCGTGTTTTAGTTTGATTCAGTGTTTTGTTTTAGTTAATGTGCTAGGACATTGTGGACATTGTCCAGTCGAGAAACCACAAAACTTATGCCCACCTCAGCCACCAAGAAAAGAAAAATGGATAAATGGAAGTATAGTGAGATAAAAGTCAAAGCACGGAGTAGGATCGAACGAACCGCTTAAATATAAAGAGAGAGCCCCTTAATTAAAAAAAAAACTGTAATAGTCAGACTTCCGATCACAACTAATGAAGGCATATGCGTAACATAATAGTAGACGTCTTTAAGTAAAGAAGGATAGCGAGAGTAAAACACATTAAAATGTAATTTATATTACCTCCTTAGCAAAAATCAATAACAAATAACATATAAAAACGATGAATAACTAAATAACAATGTTTTTTTAATACATATTAAAAGTATAATGCTGAACCAGAGACGGTTTAACGAACAGAAATATGTATGTTTAAATAATCAATTTATAAACAATTAAAAGCAGTTTTTGTTTAGTTCATAATTTGTACACAAAAAACGAAAAACAATCACTTTCAAACCACAACCAATTAATTGACTTGAAATATTTGCGCGCTTTTTTCAATCAACCACAAGAACTTTAATTTGATTAGTGGTTTAGTTTGATAAACTTCAGTTACTGGAACATGCCAAATGTAACATTGTGTAGCCGCCACAGTAAAATGTTTAAACTTTAACCAAAATTCTTAAAAACCAATTTTTGAAAGCTCCGTCCGAGCTCTCTCAGATCATCTGATGACGAAATGTACAAATTGGTAAAGTTTAGGCACTTTCTCAACCTCGATCCCATTTCCCGAGATACCATAAAACTAGCAAACTACAGCGCAGCAAATATTTCCAGAAAACAATCCATGAACCTTACTCTTAAATACCTAAACCTCCCACCCACACCATAAATTTTTTAGAATGATTTTTTATTGCTATCCCGAATGTAATTTTTGTTTAATTAAATATAAACACTTAGCACACTTTTGTTTTATGCCTAATTCGTAATGTGTAATATATACTTTGTACCTTTTTATGTTATACACAACGTCCCCCTGACCCCTTTCCCCCACCAAGAAGGAACCCATCCTCGCCCAGTGTTGCACCCGCCCCCTCGGCCCCCTCGGCTCCTCCTCTCCTACACACACATTTTGGCAATTCAACTTGAATGTCTACTTTTAATGTAATTTAGTTGAATATTTTAGTTGATTTTTATTATTATTATTATTCGTACTTTGTTCACTGCTACGTGAGCGAAAACTAAATAAATTTAATTGTATTTCAATAAAACAAAAAAAAACACAAAAAACGACAAAAATTAAATTACTTTCTGCTATTATTATTACTACAATTAATATTGAATTTTTGTTGAATTTTCAAATGATTAAATGAAATATTTTTAATAATTTGTGTTGGTCTTTTATTATTTATCCCTTCTTCTATGATTTCAGTTGATTTTATTTTTGGTATTTTTGATAATTTTTTCAGTTAAAACTGCATTGATAAACCCAAATTAAAAATGGATAAAAATAATGCCGGACGATAAACTGCCGACTAGAAATGACAGCAGAAACCTTTACCGAAATGTATTGCTTAGCATCTGGTAGGAAACACAAAACAAACTTTGGTTCCCGATTCCTCCGATTGCGACTTAGTTTAGCAGCTACCTCAGTTAGTCACATCTAATAGACACATACAACAAGTACATACTTACAATTACTCGTCGTAGGAACATGTTAATCGCATCTTAAATCGATAGCTTAGAGTCCCCGCCCCCGGGCAAGCCCTTGATTCTTACTTTTTCGTTGTTCTTTAGCAAACTTGCTTACTGAGTTACCTGTGCCCCTGTCCCCTAGATCTCCCCCTCAAAAAAAAAAAAAACAAAATCGTTTAAAACAATGCACTAAATCAATTTCTTAGTTGAATTTTGAGTTGAAAGCGCAGTAGAGCTGAGGAGTTGGTAAATCCAAAAGATAAAGTATGGCGGAGAGTGACGAAGAATGTTGTAGTCGAATTTTTGTTCACGTTTGTTCTCGTTAAGTTGAAGATTTCATGCCAAAGTACAAACCTTAAATCAATTCTTCGTGATTCTTCGTGAATTGCGAAAAAACCTTACCTACCTTACCTACTTACCTATCCCCCTGAATTCCCTCTGAATTTTTATACCCTTGCAGAGGGTATTATAATTTTGGTCAAAAGTGTGCAACGCAGTGAAGGAGACATCTCCGACCCTATAAAGTATATATATTCTTGATCAGGATCACCTCCTGAGTTGATATGAGCATGTCCGTCTGTCCGTCTGTCCG